TTGTCAAGTAATTCTATCATCTGTATCATTTGGGGTAAGCCTCTATTGACTGTCATTTTTCATTCAGTTTGATATCTTTCTCGTTCTTGGTATGAAGAGTGATTTTTTAATTTTAACTTGGACATTTCTGTATTATTTCTGTATTATTCTGTTTTATACTGAAATTCTGGATTTTATGTAAACCTCCTGTTTTAGATAGCTTTTTTTGATACCACTCTGGCAGGGAAAGTGGGGTCTGCTGCCTCATTACTGCCTGGTGGAGGTAGAAGTCCAGGTTCCTCACACAAGGAAAGAGAGTTCCTCATTACTGCTGGGCAGGAGGTGGGAGTTCTGGCTTCCTACATGGCCTCCACTGACACCATGGTGGAAGTGGCCTCGTTACCACTGGGTGATAGTCAAAAGTTCTGACTGCCCATTATTCTGAGAGCACCCCAGTGGAGAAGGGGAGGGGACCTTCATTACTGACATGCAGGAGACTGGATACTGTTTAGTAATATAATCTGAATGCTTGGCACAAGTAGACGTCTGGTCAATGGTTGCTATATCATGATATCTCTGGAAAGTTTTGGCAGTTCTGCAGTTCCTACAGGACACGTATCTTTTGGTAAGTGACAATCAAGGCATTAATAATTATCCTCTCCCTGGGAATTTCTTCCAGGGAACTGACCCTAATTCTTCAGTCAGGCTCAGTCCTGAGCTCAACCGTTGCTCCCTCTGCCCAGGTACCTCGCACGACTCTGAAAGGGTCCTGCCACCTCGATGGTGCTTATGTCTCTGGTTCACCCTCTTATTTTCCACAATAAAGGCCCATCTCCAATACTTATTCCACTGTTAGATATATGTACAATAGAATTTCCTCCATCTCCTTCCCTTTCCTAAAATTGAGTTTATCCCACTCAACTGTTTTTCTCAATTTCTTTTTTTAATTTTTTCCTGCATGTTTAGACCTGTTCCTCACTGCTCCATCATTCTCTTGGTTACTGGCTCCTCCACCATTCATCTTAAGTCAGTGTTATTCTGTTTTCCACACTCTCTGATGTCACACCCTTATTTAAATAACATTTGGATGCTATCACAGTCATCTGCTATAGGAAAATATGGCAGACGGATGAAAGGAGCCTTACTCTGAATATTCAGAGAGCAAAGAGGGAACCCTGGACATGAGTAAGTGGAGCTCAAGTTTTCAGGTCAATTGTTGAGCCGGTATTCCATTTAGGAAGGATTGAGAAGTAGCACTCTTTGAATGTGGAGTTGGAATGCCTTGGGGACTATTTTGGAAGATGTGTTTGCTAATTTATCTCGTTGGAACATGTATTTGTGTGACTTGGGGGTTAGAGGAGGGACTGCTTATAGAGGGGTTAGCACTCCAAGCTACCTCTTGGTGTCAACACTATTCCAAAGAAAAATATTAGAGAGGCACGATTGAAATAAAAAAGGGAAAGCCAGTGAAGGCAAACGTGACCTCAGCGGCTAAGGGCATGGGTAGAACTCAGGTAGAGAAGGCAGGAAAAGGAGTCAAAATCACAGAGGGCCCTGGTCAGTGGCAGTTGCTGGAGGTATACTTTAGAGAATAACCCAGTGCTTGTCCTGTAGTGGGTACTCATGAATTGAAGAGGTGCAAGGTATGAACTGATTGTTTTGTAAAGAATTAAAGACACTAAACCATTCATTACATAATTGCAATTTTCTGTTTTCCCCACTACTTTGTAACTCTATATCTACATTGTTTGATACTGTGTCACCAGCGTCAAGCTGGCCATCAATGAATAGTTAGTCAGTCTGATTTAAAAAACATTTCCTTTAAAAAAAAAGGAAATGAAGGGAAGGGAGGAAGGAAAGGACAGCTTGGGTAATCATTAGTGCTGTTCACCAACACTGTTGGTGCTTCCCCTACTGGGCACATGGTAGGATTCCACTTCTTGACCCCTTAGAGGTCAGGTAGGTGTTTGGCCTGTAAAATGTGGCAGATGTAGCATGTTACTTTCTGGCAGCCAACCTTAAGAGCTCAGGTGGGACTCCCCATGCTGTTTCCCTCAGCGATGGCAAACAGCTCTGTTCCAGGTTGGGGAGGCTGCATCCCTGGCTGAGAGCAAATCAAGCACAGCTCCCCACCAACCCAGCAAGGACATGTTGTATGAGCGAGAAATAAATCTTTATAATTTTAAATAATAAAGAGCAGGCGTGTGTTACTGTAACATGACATAGCATATCCTGAATGATAGAGAATACTAAGTGATGTCTTCAGCCGTGGAACGATAGGTGACTTTTCTTCTTTCTTGTCTTCTTGTATTTTCTAGTTTTTCAAGTGATTCTTTTAAATCTATTTTTGACTTTTCTGGAATGGATGTTATTTTTGTAATAGGGAAATAAATTAATTTAAAATAAACTGGGGGACAAATTTTATGACTTGTATCTGTTTATAATTTGAAGTGATGTTATATTTTTATTGATAATTGCATGAAACATGCAGAAATTAACACATTTATTGAACCTAGGGTGTGTTTTGGTGCATACTCTTTAGTCGCCAAGAACCCTGAAAAACAATGTGTTACCCTGTCATTGAATCAAGGCCTGCCATCTTAGATCTGCTCCAGCCCCCCAAAAAATGCACCTCCGTGGGAGTGCTGGATGGCTTGGGGTCCTGGGAAACATTTGTGTAGTTTGCTAGTAAGACCGGGCCTTGGTCAGAAAAGGGTTGTGTTTGCTAATTTTCCCTTCCTTTGCACACACCTTTATTAATATGGCAGTCAGGTTCATTTGAGAATGCCTGGAACATTTGCACATTGCCTTTGTTACACAGGAGGGCCTTCCATTTGAATTTTATAGGAGAGACTGAAGAAAAGTGATCCTGTTTCTACTCTGGCCCAAACCCGGAAGTCTGAGGCGCAGGATTTTACGTGCGTGTATCTGCACATAGCTGCTGGCGACCTGGGTGGGATCAATAAAACCCCATGCCTTCACGCTGGCAGACTTGAAGCCAGGGCCAGCCTAGAGGGAACTGACCATCTCAGCCCTGCATTTTTTCTTTCAACCTCCTCTGACACAAACAGAAGACTGTTTTTTGATGTCTTTGATGATTAAGGTTCTGTAGATTAAAACTGAGAGTCTGGATATTTCTAAAAGGTTAGTATTTTCTTTGAGATTTACCTACTTCCTCTAAAGTATTATATACAGAGTTTTCTCCCACTTTACTAAGCTAGAAATGTATAACACAATAGACTCTCAATAGAAATAAAACCCCTTTTATTGGTCCTATTTGAAAAGATAGTCAAGCCCTGGTTTTATAAGTAAACCCTTTACTCTCCTTCTTCTATAGCCCCTCAGAACCTGTGTTTAATTTGTGGGATAATGAATTATACTCTGAATAAGAAGTTCACAAGAACCAGGAAGAGTGACACTAGTGCTTAGCACTTATTTCAAAGGAAAAACTTTTGTGAAGTTCTTTTTTTTTAGGGAACCAAAGAATTTTTAGATCCTAAACTATACCTAAAAGAAAAGATAGACTTATTAAGGAACTTTTACATTTCTAAAACCAGATTTGGAATAGTGAGAGATTATGACAAACGTGCAAATGAGCATGAATGGTCTCTCCATCCCTACTTGGTGGTTTTACTGCTTTTTTTTTTAAATAAAATAAACAAAATAAAAAAATACCTACTCTGCAGAGCAAAGACTTTTACTAAAATTGTCTAGTTTAGCCTTCAAAATATTTCATTCCTTTCTACTCTGTAAAATATCTAGATAGAGGTGGAAATTACTTTTAAGTTTTTTAAATGTCAACCCTTAAGCACAGTTCCATGTACTTACATTGGAAACTAGGTCTCAGCATGGAAGATGCCCAGGGATCCTGTAGAGTCAAAGGGTTCTGAAAAAAAGTTAATAACCCTCTTTCCTTGTTACTAAAAAAGACCCAGGCGAGGCATTTCATACACCCCCAGAGAGTAGCTAGCTGCCTGAACTGTTAACTCAGATGACTAGACTCCTTCTGTTTTCATCTCATCTTGCTAACACTTTACAAAGATGTTTGTTGCAATGAAATTGATTGTCAGCACACTTGGCAATTCAAATTGCATTAGATGTTTCTTCTTTTTTAATTCTATTAACCAAGATGAACGCAACACAATCTGCGGAGGCCCTTCCTCAGGATCTCATGACCCGGTGCTGTGGGACTAGCTCAGACTTTATGGTCAAGGTCCCTTATTCTGTGGATCTAATTAGCATTGAGAGCACCTTCTAAAACAGAAACTTATGCCCTGATCTCGATTCTAAAATGGGAACCATTTTTAAAATGCTCTTATTTCTTGATATTTACAAAATGTGTTGATCTGCAGAAAAGGTGACGCATATTCCTTAAATTAGGGGAATCAATTAGCCCATCAACCGACAAGTGTCTTTTCCCTGGAACATATTGTGTGGGTCCCAGGATGAAGTAAGGAGCTAGTTCTGGAATCTGTGAGAAAATAGCTGGCAAATGTTGTCAGACTTTGGTGCATTCCAGAGAGCCCTATTTCCTAAAATGCTTTGAAATCCTCCCACCCCTTCCTACACAGAACTCACTCATCCAGAAAGTTCAGCTATTGTCATGATAATACTGCTGGAGAATGTTGGAGCGGGAGAGTAGAGAATGAGGGTAAAAAGAGCTTATGCTTAGGGCTTGTGGGAACTGAAGCCTTGGTTCCCTAACACAATGAAGAATTTCAACTCCCTCACTACCCAGGCCGCACTTGTTCCTGTGCCCTGTAGGAGGTCATATAACTGTGACTTGGAAAAGAGAGGCTTGGCACCTATGCATGAGTTTTAAATTATGGAGTCAAAGGAGAGGAGGGAGGCAAGGGGAATAGAGGAAACCTTAACAGCTAGAAAGAGGTGTGTTTTCTTTCTTTCCCACCGTTAGCTAGTGCTTCAGGCAGAGAGAAGAAATAGGTTGTTCTCAGGGGTGCTGGTCCAGTCTAACCTGGAATACGTGCTAATTGGTGTGTGTTTCTCTCTTTCCACCCCAGGACAGCTTTCCTGCTCGCTTCGGAGGAGTTCATTTTGTCAACCAGCCCTGGTACATTCATGCCCTGTACACGCTCATCAAGCCATTCCTTAAAGACAAGACCAGGAAACGGGTAACGAAAACAAACACCCAACGGCGGGGATGCGGAGGGACAATTACGGTGCCTCTCTTCTCAATCTCTCCCTCTTTTCTTATTTTTCACTGTGGTTTTTCTGCTTTTCTGCAGTCCCTGAGCATTTGAGCCTCAGCTGGAGTTTGCAAATGACCTAGATTTAATCAATAATTTAGTAGAACTGGGTTATTTTCAGAGTCCCAGTGACAAACCAAAGGAAACTTTGAAGGCATGCAGATACCAGATGCCCATTTTACCGTAAATGCTTATGGGAGATATGGGGTCAAGCAGCTTCCTGTTCATGGAATATTTTAATAGCTAGCATTTTGTCCTGCAAATGTATTATCACTATGAGGAATGTTTATAATTTGTATTTTTCCCCATGGCTCTTGGGTCATAGCTGGCAGCTCCATCACCTCTGAGGCTGGGAAAGCATTCTTCATTGGAAATAATAATGCTCTTAGGAGGAATGCTTTTAAAATCTTAATTGTATTAGTTGATGACATTTGGGAAGCCAATGTCTTCCATCAGAGCTGGACTTTTTCATGGCATTCTGAGTAGCTGAGAAACTGAACATTCCCAAACCACTCTGAATCTCAGTTTCCTTGTTTTACAAATGAGAAAAATAACCCCACATCACAGAGTTGTTGGGGTAATTTAATGAGACATCATATGAAAGCAGGTAGCATAATGCCACTCACATAGCAAAGCTCAATGACCTTTATTTCTTTTTATCATCTAACTCTCTTTTCTTTGAAGCTTTCTGATTTTAGCTACCTGCTGGGTCAGAAGCACCACCTCTCAAAAGAACCTGGCCCAGGTCATCCTTTTAGCACCTTCCATATGCCCTTATAGCCAGGGCACCCCATGCTGGGAGAGAGCTCTGAGTGTTCAGGGGGTAATGATGATATGAGGGACCCACACACACACGTACACAGTCTGTAGGGTTCCTAACTCCTAGCCCTCAGATGCTTCCAGGTCCTTAGGAGACATTGCAGTAGGGTATGGGAGGGGTAATTCCCCTGTCCCCAAACAAGTGTGGAACCAGGAACTAGAACTGACCAGCCTCAGGACAGAGACATTCTGAGGCATTTTGCAATCTCTCTGGGGCTCAGGACAGCACTAAGGACAGAGAAGTGTCCTAGACTGTTCCCAATGTGGCTTCATCTTCTGCTCAGGAAGGAGCCAGTGGGAATTCCTCCCACAAAGCAATCGACACTTGCTGCTGTGCCATAGAAGGAGTTCCTGGAGCTCTGGGCAGAGAACAGAATCTGACAGGTGGAGGGTCCAGCCTCCTACCCGCTGAGTTCCTCCATCCCACAGGACCCCAGGAGAGAGGACCAGTTTCAGCAGCACTCCTAGTTCTTTAAGAACTGGAGGGGTTGGGTGGGTGTGTACAAATGTTTGCTCTTAACACCAGGGCCAGAATTTAGCTCCAGGTTTTCCATACTTCAAATACTGATTCCTCCTGTGTGACGTTTTATGAAAGCCAGAATATGTTAATTTCTTCAAAAGAAATAATTCTTATTAAAATTCAGTCATACCCAATCCATTGTCAGCAAATGTGCACTGTTTTCTGAAGTGCTACAGTACTCTTCTGAAGAATTTAACACTCATCTTATTGTCCCCTTCATCTTTAAATGATGCCACTACCTCATAAGTTAAAATCAACACAAGAGAACAGGGTAGCAGATGTTTATTATATACTTACATAGTACACTATAATTTAGCATGTAGTATATACCATAATATAATATTGTGGTACATATATTATTATACTATATTTAAGTATTTTAAAAATCACATTTGCAATTCATCACGGTTAGGATGGCATGCGTGGTGCTCGCTTTGGCGGCACATATACTAAAATTGGAACGATACAGAGAAGATTAGCATGGCCCCTGCACAAGGATGACACGCAAATTCGTGAAGCGTTCCATATTTTTCAGAAATAGAAGTATAATGATGTACACCTGAAATTTATACAATGTTATAAACCAATGTTACTGCAATAAACAAAAAATTAAAAAAAAAAAAGATGGCGTGTGTGTGTGTGTGCATGTGTGTCTTTGTGTAATTGACGGTCCTGTAGTTGGGAACAACTTATGTGTATCGAGCCTGCAACATGAAGAACTGTGCGAACCGACATCATTACACAGATGCACTTTAAATAAACGTTCAGGAATTAATTCCTGAATTGCAGGCAATGGTAATTATCAACTTGTGGCTTATTCACTTTTCAGATTTGTCTGAAAAATAATTGTAATTTGGGCATGTTTCCTCCCCTGCTTGACTAATTTCCATCACCATCCATTATACGCTTAGAAGGTGCAAACTTGTTTGGGTGTTAACCTCAATCCAGACAAAATGGAAACTTGCTGCAAAACCATCCCACAATAAGTTCTCGGGCCACAGTTTTCAATTCCATTGACTAAGAATTGATCAAGCTTTGACCTTGTGCCCACATACATCACCCAGGGAGCTAGGAGTCTATTAAAAGAATAAGAAAACATCACCCCTTTTCCTGAGTAGTCTTCTCTTCCTGTGGGGAAGCAAGACGTAAATGAACAAATCAGACAAAAATAGAGGTCATCACATAATAAAGAGTTAACTGGGGGGAGGGGGAGGAGGACCAGAGTGGGCAGGTGTCACTGGGATATACTGAGGAAGAAGCTGCCACTTGGTGTAGGCCTGGGAAGGATGGGAGGATTGATGGGGGTGCAGAGGGCAGACAGCACTCCAGGGGGAGAACAGAGCAATGTAGAGATGTGTGTCAAGCATGATTGGGGGTCTGGAGGGTCTGCATCGCTACTCTTTTCACCAACAGGGGTAATTAGGAGACGACTGTATATGTAAATTTGGGCCATGGCCAAATAATACCCAATTTGTTCATAAACTTCATTTTTAAGGACTGTTAATTCAGCCCCCTTTCTGAGCAATAAATTAACATGTTATGAAAACTAAGCCACCGACACAAAATTGAATGCCTCTTTAAACACCATGATCACCAGCAGTGCATCCAATTTCTCATTGCTAAATTGTGTATTAGATTAAATGCTTGGTCATATGTTTTGGATTTTTTATTGCTAATTATTTTTTTTTCCAGATTTTCCTCCATGGAAACAACTTAAACAGCCTTCACCAGCTAATACACCCTGAATTTTTGCCCTCTGAATTTGGAGGAACGCTTCCTCCTTATGACATGGGAACGTGGGCCCGGACATTACTTGGTCCTGACTACAGCGACGAAAATGACTATACTCACACTTCCTATAATGCAATGCACGTGAAACACACATCATCCAACCTGGAGAGAGAATGCTCACCCAAGCCGATGAAGAGGTAAGGCCTGATTATCAGAGCTTCCCAGTTGGAGGTCAATAGGCATTTTTGATTTGGGCCTACTGTGGGTTAAGTAATTGAAGACCGTAATGCGCACAGAACTTGAATAAAATAAATTGCGATACATTCTTAGCTGATTTCACTAGAATTGAAAGCAAATGGGGCTTGGCTTGCCCAGAAATATAGTTGTCTCCATTGTATTAAAGAAACAGTTAAAGGCTAGGACCTTGCTCATGTTATGATTACAGTCCCAGTGTCTGTTAATATACACAGAATGAAATGTTGTACCTTTGAGACACACTGGATGAAAAAGCAACCTGCTAGAAAATGTTCCTATCATCCATGCATTAAGAACCATTTATCGAGCATTTACTTGGCTGCAGGCACTGATTAGGCACTGGGAGTACAAACAGAAATAAGACATCAAAAGAACAGAGAAGTGTGCCTCAGGAAGATCTGCCAAGTAAGACTTTTAGCAAGGTATTTATAAAGCAGGTCACATTTGAGCTGGGCTCAATGGATGAAAATCAGCAGCCCAGGCTTAACAAAAAGGGAAAAGGCATTCCCAGCAGAGGGGACAGACAGAGGCGTGGAGGCATTAGAGAGATGGGATACACTAGTGTGGCAAAGAGGATCGAGAGATGAGAGTGGACGTGGAATAATGTTCCAAAGATTGTTGGATCCAGGTGGTGAAGTACACTGCATACTGTATTCAGTGGAGTGCCGTGGGAGACGGGTTTTTACAACTGATAAACAAATAGTGCATGTGTGCTTTCTCATTGTAAAAAGTAAACCCTTATTTATAAGGCTAAAATCCCCTTCAACCACTATCCTCAATCCCAGTCCCAATCCCAATCCCTCTCCAAAGGTAACCATTGTTGTCAGACTGGGATGGACTCTCCCCTTCTGTTTTCTGTACATTTACACTCATCTATACACACCCATAGAAAATATCTAATACTGTGTATTAGTTTTCCAGGGCTGCTGTAACTAAACATCTGAAACAACAGAAATCTATTTTCTCATAGTTCTGGAGACTACAAGTCCAAGATCAAGTTGTCGGCAGGGTTGGTATCTGCTGAGGTCTCTCTCCTTGGCTTGTAGATTGTCATCTTCACCCTGTGTCTTCACATGGTCTTCCCTCGGCATGTCTGTGTCCTAATCTCTTCTTCATATAAGGACACCAGCCATATTGGATTAGGGCCCACCTCATTTTACCTTAATTACGTCTTTAAAGACTCTATCTCCAAATACAGTCACATTCTGAGGTACTGGGGTTAGGACTTCAACATATGAATTTGGTAGAGGACACAATTAATCCCATACCATATTGTTATGTAACGTTTTTCCATATCAATGAATCTAGACCTATCTCATATTTTTAATGCTGCATGGTATTCTAGAACATGGATCTATCACAGTTTACCCATTTCCCTATTGATGGGAATTTAGGTTGTTTGTGACTTTTTTCTCTAACCCACATAAGGCCCAAAGAATATCCCTGATATGCCTCCTTCATTCTCACAGGAAAGTTCCTCTGGGTAGACTTGGAGCCCTGCAGTAGCTGGGCCAGAGGGTGTGTGTACTTTAGATTTTATTCCACATGGCCTGTAAACCTCCCAAAATGACTGTACTGATTGACACTCCTGCCAGGAGTGTGTGAGACTCTCTATCCCCAGACCCTTGAAAAGTACTTCATATTATCAGACTTCAATTTTAATCATAATCCTGATGGTAGGACAACTCTATGTTATTTTTGTTTCCATTTATATTTGCCCATCAGACATAGTTAAGCAGAGAAATTACATAATAAGGTCTGAGGTTTATAAGGATCATGGAATTAGCAGGGAAAAGGAGACTAAAAGCCATCAGAAGGCTCAGGTGGGAAGATGAGGGATAGAACTGCTGAAGCAATGGAGGACGGGCTGAACTCTGGGGAAAGGAGCAGCGTCAAGGTTGAAGTCTGGGCTCATGTTGATGTCCTGAACCAAGAAAGAGTGTCCAGGATGAGGATCCCCACGTTTCCTGCTCAGTTGTGAATACTACACTCAAATGCCTGGAAAACCTCTCCACTGGTACTGGTGGGATCTGGAAATTCATTGACTCCCCAGGTTAACGGCTGACATTCTCTGGGGAGTGTTGGCCACGGTGGCTGAGAGGTTGGCTTTCTGTTTCTACAGTGAGGGGACTGACCTCACTGGTTGAGTGAGATGGTCCGGCCCTGGTCCTGACCTACTCTCAGTCCAGACGACAGCACAGTAATGACAATGATAACAACTCACACAACTGATACTGTTCGAGGCCCTTCACCTGCATTACCTCTTTAAATCCTCATCACAACAGTATGAGAAAGGTATTATCATTATTCCCATTTTACAAATGAGGAAACTGAGACACAGAAGGTAAGCAACTGCCCAAAGTCACTTAGCTAAGTGGCCACTCTGGGATTCAGATGTGGTCAGGCCGGCTCCGTGCTCTGTGTTCGTGTCCTCTATAAGATACAACACACTGCCTGCTTTTCCTCATGCTTTCTATCCTTAGCTCTAATGCCAGCTTTCTCTCCCTGATCCTTCCATGGGCAGAGACAATGACATCTCATGTAGCCTGTCCCTACCTCGTCTCTAGAGACTTTTAGATAAAGCCATCATACCCTCATATATGTCTGAACTTCCAAAGTCAAGTGGCATAAAATAGGAATTTGCCACTCTTTCCCCAGATGATCAGTTACAAAGTTACATCTCTTTTGGGTGACCAGACATGTCCTGACTCCAAGTTCCACCTCTGAATTGATGTTGAGGATCAGAGGAGGTGACAGCTTCCATTATTAGACAGTGAGTTCTGGAGGGTAAAGTCTTTGTATAACTTGTATTTACCGTACTCTCTCCCCAGTAATCCATTCAATGTCCAACACACAATAGATATACAGCAGACACCCTATACATACTTGCTGCATATAAATGAATCAACGTTGAATGAAAGCTACTACTGCCAAAACCCACCCTTGGTGCACTTGTTCAGTTGCTTCAACCAAATTGTCTGCTCCTAGAGGGAAGGAGCTAATTTCCTTTGGCTTTCATGGATCCTGCCTTAGAGGATCTTACAGCCCAGTAAGGGAGATAAGATGTGCCCATAAATAACTATAGTACAGTTAGGATGGGCAAGACACTACAAAGGAGGTGTAAGAACCTGCCATAGCATTCTGAGGAAGCATTCACTAATTCCAACCAGGAAGACTCTTAGAGAAGTCTTAATGGAGGAAGGCATAGCTGAGCCAGGTTTTGGAGAATGATAAGGTATTAGAGTCACCATCCAAGACTATCTGTAGAAGCTAGGAATTGCATACACATCTCATTACCCCGTCAAGGCCACCAAGGTCTCCTGCCCACTCCTGCTGTCCACTCAAGGTGGTGGCATCCTTGAGTGTTTGCAGCAGCAGCAGCAGGACGGGCAGTGAGGAGACTGGTACCAGTAGTGATGCTAGCAAGGAGGGACCACACTTGCAGTTGGACTGTGCCTGCTGTCAGGTGCCTCACTAATGGAGGTCCGTGGAGACTGAGAAAATTACAGGAACAGAACAGCCAACATTCATAGATTCTTTTGACGCCTCGGAACCCATAGAGACCTGGGAAAATTGAAAACAGAATTGGAGACCTTAAAGGTCATCTCTTCAGTTACCCACCTGATAGGGTGGTCTGTTCTCCGGCCCAGGCTGTTGGCCAGCCTCAGTTGGCACTGTCTAGAGACGACAGGCAGGCAGCTACGGGCAGCATGTTCCCTGCATCGTGGTTTAGGAAGCACCTCCTTATGCTGGATGCCCTGGGTCTGTCCTCTGGAACAGCACCCTAACTTCCAGTGAGTAGATGCTGCCTATAGTCCTAACCCCTGCCACAGTTGCCAACAGGCTTCAGGTCCATTTGGAGTCAAATGGGCTTTGGTGGAGTGTCCTTGGGACCTAATCACTTTTTATAACACGGCTTCTGAGCACAAATGGCCTCTGAGCTCCCAGTGGCTCAGAACAATGCATTCTGACACGCAGGTAGAGCAAAATCTAAGACGTAGGAAATTCTCAGTCAATGAGTCACTCAAACAAGATAAATTTTTCTTTTCCCAGATAAATTTGGTGCAACCCTTAAGCAGAAAAACTTTTAAAAATTATTAGCTTAGATGGAAATTTCTCTCAACAGATTATTTCAATATTGGTCTGTTCTTTAATATAATGATGCCTTTGTGAGCCTTTGAGTGTGTGGCATTCTCTGCCTCGATGCTAAACGACCCCGCCATTTTGTATTTTTAACTTCTGCTTTCTGTTTTTTATTTTATTTTTTGGAATCTATTTCCTTGCTCTCAGGCCATTGACTGTCACTTTCTGTTCTTAGGACTATGTACGTCTGAAGCTCCCCATTTCCTCCTATCTAATTTACTACTGGAATGCATTCTAGCTTGGAAAACAGGTAGCCAAAATTATTAAAACCACCCAACAGATAACAGTCAATAGAATTTGTATTTGCTATAATTATTTTGGCTAAAATAAGACAAAACTCCAACTGAACTGCTTTAAACAATAAGGAAAATTTATCTCACATCATGAGAAGTGGCAAGATGAGGTGGCTGCGTGACTTGGTGGTGGCACCCAGAATCCGGGTTCTTACCCGTGTCCAGCACAATTAGGGACTTCTCAGGCAGGAGTCCACCCCTGATTCACGCAGCGAGGATGACACCCAAATCAGAGGAGCATGGCCACCTAGGAAGGAGGAGGGAATGGCTTGGGATTGGCAACCAACAGTCCTGCTTCAGGCCTAGGAGCGAGGCCTGAAATTTCTGCCCCATGAGGCTCATGCGTTGTCTTTTAAATCAGTATGTAGATTTTGTGACATCTCTTTCAATTATTAAATGTGGTTTTCAATTGCTTTCTGATTCTAGCTTTTATCTCTGAAAAAGTAGTTAAAATGGCTATAGATATTATTTAAAAGGCACGTGCACATGCACATGCACATATGTAG